GGGGGGGGGGGGGGGGGGGGGGGGGGGGGGGGGTAGGGCGCGCGCTGCTGCCTTTCTGAAGTTTGTGCTCTGCAGGGAGACGCGTGATAGTGATGGGAACATTCTTGGTGCTGAGCAAGCCTGTGTGCTGCCCGTACAGAGGGGTGCCCGATGTGCAGACGGAGATTCACGGTGGCGTCGTGGGGATCGCCCATCCTCTGCCCGCTGCCCTGTCCTAATCTCTGGGACCCTAAAAAAGTTTTTATCTTCTCCCAAATCAGCAAGGTGTTTGGGAGCAGCAGGCTGGCCACGTGTCACCTGGGTGACACCGAGCCCCCCAGGGCCCCCATTCAGGAGGTCCGCAGGTTGGAGCCCAGGAATGTGGTTTAGATGTGTGTTTGGGACCCCCGAGTGAGGCTGCGTGTTATTACGCGTTCTTTCCAGCCTGGCGCTGTGTGTGGACGCTGGTGTGCACAACCTGCGTGAGCCCCTCCAGCTTGGGCTACAAGTGTGTGTCACCCGGATGATCCTTCACACCCTCAGGGCTCCTCCAGCCGCCCTCGCGCAGAGAGCACACTTCTGCAGTTACCTCTGCAAGCCGTCCGAGAACATCGAGGCTCCTTTTGAAGTGTTAGCCTCCCGGGGCCTCGCCCGCAGGCCTTCCCGGGCTCCCTGCTGCTTTGCAGACCCCGGTCCCTGGGGCCATCACCACGCGGAGCTCCACACTGAGCTTCAAAGTTTCAGGTTATTTTTTAGATGCTGTGCATACGCCAGTGCTGCACTTGAGTTCCTGGCCTCCCCGGTGAGCCACTGGTTCCCAGTATGAAGCAAAGATCACCTGCCCAGGTTCCCCGCTCCCTGGGGAGGCTCCCCTTGGGTGCCCTTGATAGCTGCCCGCCAGTCAGTCTCACCTGCTCGGTCTTCCTAACTTCATGCTTTACAGGGCAAGGGATTGGGATGGTCACGTCTATTCCCTCCGTCCTGGTTTCTTAGCAAATCAGCCCAGCCTCCCCAACACCCCGGCCTGGGACAGCTGTGCCGTGGGCCACGGGGGTCCAGGATGCCACCTGCCAAGTCCCACTGCTCGCTCAGAGGCCTTCACGGGTCTTGCTTATTTAACCTTTAAAACCTCAGAAGGGGGACAATAGCTGTGCCAGACCCATGGTCATGAGTGCAGTGGGCCAGCGTGCTGAGCTTGGTGCCGGGCACATGGAGGTGCCCACGGAGTCTCCGTATCCTGAATGCTGTTACCCGCAGGGCCTCTGGCTCAGGAGGTCTCCCTACAGCCCCTCCACCCCCACCTGGAGGGCCCAGGGCCCGTCAGCCCTTGGCGGTGGACACCCACGCCAGGTCTTTCCGGAACCAGCATCACCTGAGCTTGACTCCCAGCCGGCAGGTCTTCCTGGAGCCTCGACCTGGGCCCCGCGGCCCCGCACCACTCGGGTCCATGGTGCACACCGCACCGTTTTCCGAGAAACTTACAAAGGCAAGATAAGCAGATGTTTTCAGAGCAAGGATTCCAAAGGAGGGGCTGGAAATAACCGTTCGTCTCCAGGTCTGACGGCAAGAAACTCATCACAACAGCTGTGTGTGAACTTCCCAACTGTTTACCCTCAAAATAGCAATGGCAGATGCTTACCAGCTGCGCGGGCATGCGGGGTGCTGGTCTAAGTGCTTTATAGGCCTTTACGTTCTTAGCGCTGTTCTCACGCCTGTGCAACAGGGAGCAGAGGCTGGGGGGCAGCGGGGGCGCCGGCCTCCAACCACGCAGTCGGGACGCGACGGGTGAAAGGGGACCGAGCCCCAGAGGGTCCAGTGGCCTCGCCCAGACCCTCCACCCCCAAGACCATGTGTCTCCCCGCCCACCTTCACCCTGGATGTGGGTTCATTTTTACATGATTTTAAATCAAACTGCAGGACAGAAACGGCGCAAGGAAGGAGCGCGTTGAGCCCACGGCTCTGCTCTGGGGGCCGAGTCCATCAAGCCGCACAGATAAGCCTCTCCCAGGGCCCAGGCTGCGGCCGCGCTACTCGGCGAGCCCCGAACTCGCTCTCTTCTGCTTCACGATGACCGCGACGTCGGCTTTCAGCCTCCGCAGGCCGGACTCCAGCAGGTCTCCGAACTCCTTCAGCCTCTGTGCCTGTTGGTGTACAAACGCTCGAAGCATTTCATCTTCTTCCTGGAAATAAAGGAAGGAGGGGGGGAAAGGTAGCAGACTCAGTGGGGTGCCCCAGAAGTTCTGCCGAAAAGCTGCCCTGAAGGGTGCCGGCGGAGGCGGTAAGTCACCTGCGAGCCCGTCCCGCCCCGGCGCGGCCTCAGGTGCTGCTGCTGGAGACAGGCGCTCGGTAGCCCGGGATGACCCACATCCCCTTAATACTGTGCAAGTTCTGGGGTTTGCAAAGGACCGGGTGGGGGGGTGCGCCCCGGGTAGGGCCGTGCTGCTGGTGGGTCCCCCGCCCCAGGGAAGCAGGCGCAGGGGCGCGGGGGGGGGGGGGCGCCACGACAGAGGGCGGGGGTACCCGGGGGGTGCCCGCGCTCACGAGCTGGGACCAGGCTGAGCGCACTGAGCATCCCTGCAGGTGGCTCCCAGACCAGCAGTGAGATGACTGCTCAAGTACTTAGGCCGTTTTTCCCCATGTGTTTTCCAACCTGTCTTTCTCCTAAAAGTAGTCGTTTATATATTCCGAATACTACTCTGTGATGAAAAATAATACAAGGAGGTGTGGCTTTTTTTTTTCTTTAGCCTTGTTTATAGTGTCTTTCACCTCGTCTGTTTTTCTTTCTTTTCAATTGTGAGACACACACACGCACACACAAGTAGGTGTAATGTGTCAGCTAAGTGAATACCTGCTCAGGACAGACTGAGCTGCCTGAGCCCCTCCTCCTCACACCCTCTCCCTCCCCAGGAAAGACCACTACTAGCCCCACACTGTGACCATCATTTTCCTGCCACCTGGAATGCACCCCTGAATGGTATATTTTGCCCGTGTCCGGACCATTCTCGGAATCCTGCTGGCTGGCGTCTTCTGTTAACGTGACAGTCCGAGCTGACCAGGGGTGCTGGGATTCACTGAGCCGCACGTGGCTAGGGTTCCCAGTACAGAGGGCGCTGTCCTTGAACTCTTCACGGGGTGTCCCGTGTGGGGCTGCTGTGGACAGTGGGGTAAGAGCAGCTGGGGCATATAGCCCGGGTTTCCGCAGAATTTTTCAGCCGGCCCGTCATCTGGACCACAGAGCCGGGAATGATCCGAGTGACTGTTTTCACGGTTCTCTCGAGAATGTGTGTAACCAGAGCCATTGTAGATGCGCAGGAGACAGATTTCGTGCATTCATTGCCTCGCCAGGTGCTTCTCAAACTTCAGTTTAAGGCAGAATGATCTGGAGGGCTTGTTAAAGTGCAGATTCCTGGGCCTCACTCAGGGGTCTGGTTAGGTGGGTCTGGCAGGGGCCCTGGGAATTGTATTCCTGAGACCCCAGATGATTCTGGAGCTGCTAGCAGGGGCCCCTCTCTGAGACCCTCTGCTCCCGGCATCGGGGCTGAGTGCTCTGTAGAGGCGCCAGGCCCCGCGGAGAAGAGTTGAGTCACGGCTTCTAGGGTTGATGCATCTTCCACTCTTGCTCCGTAAGTGAGCAAACACCAGTTTTAAGCGGTTGAACCAATTTAAACTCTTTCCGGCAGTGCATGGGGTTTCTGTTGCTCCATACCGTCATCACCGCTCGGTATTTTTTGACGTTTAAATGTTGCCAGTCTGGTGGGTTTATAATAGTGTTTCACTGTGGCTTCAATCAGTGTTTCACAAACTACTTAAGGGGTGAAGCACTTTTTCATCAATCTATTGGCCTTTTATTTTTTTTTCCTGCTGGGTTATTTTTCCTTTTGATTTGTTTTGTTCTTTACTTTGAATCTTAGTTCGTTGTAGGTTAAATGTGTTATAAATAACCTTTCCCAGC